TCTAATGGCTAATTACGGTCGTAAGTTGTTTCTGATGTTTATGATATGTGTATATGAATATGTTTATTTATATATTACCTATATTTTGCCGTATACTTAGTAGGTGTGCTAATTAAACTACAATTTATTTACATCCTTAACAACACGATTTTATAATTGCAGTGATGTTTAAGTGTTATGAAGTAACAATAGGTTTAAATAAATGCTCACAACTACATAAACAATAAAATGGAAAATTAAACAACGCCTACGGCTAAGATAATTGAGATAAATTACGTACCTACAGTCAATACAGCAAAATACAATGGTCTTGTATTGCCGTTATAATCATAAAAACTTAATAATAACTCGCATATACAGTCAATCCGTAAAGTTTTTTTACTTCTCTCTATAAATTTGTAATTAAGAATATTACCTTATGTATGTATGTACCTATACATATTTCATGAAACATAAAAATACTAATGTTATAAAGAGGAAAGATTTAATTATTTTTATGTTTATCTATTTATAATAGATAAAACTACTTGACTAATTTAGAAATTCCTTCACTATAGAAAATGACATAAAAACATTTTTGCCATAATATAAACAACCCGCTTTAATTCTAATGAGCTAAATATTGGCGAAAATATTATAACGTACTTTCTAAATTTTAGCTATGTCTATATTACCTGAGATTGGTATCTCCGTAATAATATCTCTTGAACTAAAACATTAACAGAATATAAATAATCATTATTTAAATGAACTTATTTTTAAGCACCTTTTAATAGCCACACTTTTTTTATCTATCACACATTCGGAATGCAATTTCATCACAGAAAGAATGAGCAAGAAACTTGCCTGTTGCTCTTGCTTGTTCTTGGCAAATATAATAATATTATAAAAGAAAACATTATTATTATATACCCATACATTGGAAACTTGCGTAAGTATTAAATTAGTGTATAGGCACAGTATACATATTATTATTACTCAAAACTATATTGACCTAAATATTGCATTTTATGAAAGACGATAACCAGTCTGTTAAGGTACATAATATCAAATAAATCGCCCTTTTACATACACCAGAACATGATCGTACTAATACTATACGACCGTGTACTGCTTATAACGGCCCACTACATGTAATAACTAATAAATCACATCGTTGCGAGTCGGTTAGACAAGCAAACAATCCGTTTGTTTGTCAGTTACCAGTCATCTCGACTAACGATCTGCGGTTCGACAGCAAAAAAGACCCTAAACATTCAAACTATTCAATTTTTTGCTCACATCTTGCAAGGCGACGAAATGTCGATATGGGAGGGCTTTTTAAATTCTAATTAACTGATAAAAGGGCTTCTATAAAAGACATGGAAGGCCTGTTATTTTGTTGTGAAAAAATATATTACATTCGAAGCACAATGATTTTATTATAAATATAATTAACAATATTACGTCTGTTGTACAACAGTTATTATATAGGTATTTGTTACAGATAATATGTAATATATATGTATAGATAAAAGACGAATTAATCATCTAATTAGAATAATTAATAAAAAGATATGACGTAAACGACAACAGCATATTTGTATCCTTGTCGTTTCCATCACCAACGGTTCAAATTCAAATCAAAAAAATCTTGCGGTGAGTATAAAATCTTCAAAATGTCAATCTCAGAATAACAAATAAATACCTTTTAGAGACATTGAGAAATTATAAACTTCACGCAGATATAGCATACGTGATTCAGTTAATACTCTCGTAGCTGACCCGCGCAATATCGTTTGAGGTTATACGTTCCACGTTTTGAAAGAATATTTAATTACAGTTCAGCTTCCATTAGACATAGCGTGATGTTCAGGAAGGCCTATAGTTCCTATATATATTTCCCCGGTAAATTGATAATCAAAATCGGATAAGTAGTACCGAAGATTACCCCAAACATCCAACTCACAAAATTACCTCTTTATAATATGAGGGTGGTTTATACAAATTACTTACTAATCTTATCGTCTTGTATTTCACAATAGCTTACGTAAACATAATAATCGCGAGGTCAACAGCATAAAACAATCAAAATATTAAATATAACGAAATATACACATTGCTGTATATTTCAGGGAGCTTTCGCGCTGGCCCGTTTCCTTCAACACTTGCTCAAACAATGCTCACTTCCGATCTAATACAAACAAATGTTTAGGAATGTAGTTGGTATAAATTAAAACAAGGAATTATAATGAACACGAGCCGGAGTAAAGTTTGGTTAAGTAATGTAGCGAGTATGTGTCAATTTTTAACATGGATATGGTATATTCATGACTTTATCCGAGAATTAAAAGCAAACACATTAATATTTATTAATCTAGCGTAACATATGCATATGTGGATGCCAAATGTCCTGTCTGTCCACTTCTATGTAAGTAAAAAAAGTTCAAATATCTTTAGAAATACTCTATACTGTTACGCAAATCCATGGATCTATGAAGATATTTTGTATATGTACTCTTATAGATCGGTAAGTATCGAGATTTGAAAAATGAATAAAATAATATAGGTAAAAAATAATAAGTAATATGACACTCTTTAATCCCCTTACTCTTCTATCAAAACATTTTTTTAGATTTTGTATTGAATTTTGACTACCTAGATGTAATGACAATTTATTTAATAAAAGTTGTCAATACAGAATAAAATCGAAAGTATATTCACTACCTATGTCAACTTTCTATGACTAGCCAAGTTTATATTGAGGACACTATATATTATTTGCAAAGACTAGAGTTCAAACAACGGTAGTTAAATATGAAGCGTACCTTTTTATGTTATTTGCATAAAAAGGCATACATTTTCACTTTTACACACACTTTTTGTAAAATTTAACAAAACAACCTTATGAATTTTAGGTATCTCACAATCTTAATGCATTGTAAATAAATAATAGTAAATGCACTGTGCTCATATAAATGACTGTGATTTGAATGTTTTGACTCTTACGACTTTTATTTGTAAATTTATTGCTACTATTTATATATATATATCTATAAAAATAATATATATATATATTATTTTTTAGTTTTTTCTTTGATGGGGTTGATAGAAATGTATTAGTAGGTAAAATCACAAAAAAAATGACAGTTACGAACTTATATACATATAAGTGGATACACAAAAATTTGCGGACAGTGCAACAAGCGTTTATATTACAACTTTAAGAAGTATAAAGTGAATAAAGTTCTGATATTAATATTATTAATAGTTTATTGATTCTATGACCAACAGACAGATGGGCCTACTGATGATAAATACCTGTATATATATATATATATATATATATATATATATATATATATATATATATATATACACAATACACACTACAATAACATTGAGTAAATTATATTCCTAGTTAAATTTTTCGTTAGTCCATGTTTAACAACCTGTCAGCTTATCGAAGGGCCAACTTTACGACTTATTCTTGGCTCCGCAAAGTAGATTTGTGGTCAACCACCATTTACTAGGTGCGTTTAACATCAACACTTTCCTCAAAATGGTAACAAAATTATGACTAACTTTTATACATCATAAATCACCTGCTATATAGTGATTTACGAGTATATGCAACTATTTTGTGTATCAATAGTTTCTAAAGACAACTCCAATTCTCTCCGAATACCTACATCACATTGTTACTTCGAATGGTTTTATTTATCTCTACCCTTTTTCACTTTAATATTACAAAGAGGAAATATTTGATATTTTGTGTGCTTTTCAGCGACTGTGTCATGCTGATAGTACCGCAGGATACAACTATTGGTTCAATAAAATAGTTTAGTTCCAAGACTCAATAAAAACTAAAATGAACGTAAATTTTGAAATGCCTATTTCTATCCAAATTTGGCTTTTTTTTTTGTTGTGACACAAATTTTGATATGACAATTTTAATACTTATTGTTTTTTTGTTTTATTTGAACATAAGTAAAACAACGATAAACTATAAACATACGTATCATGTTCATAGCGGATGTGGTTATTAGTTGTTACCACAATATCATCAAATTACCTATTATTGATATGAGTGAATATCCATAACAATAACATTAATTAAATGTGTTGGGTCTATTGATATGGACAGGGAAAGTACCTTTTTTAAATCAATAAAATTACTGTTCAATGAAACAAGATCGCTGCCTTATAAAGTTTGATTAGTTTTAAACGCTTAAAAGGAAGCGATTAAGAAGGTATAAAAATACGTAAACATCAATTAGACGCCCTTCTATGTTTTGTTTAAATTTGTTTTTATTTTTAAATAAGTATGTAGATGTAATTTTGATAAACGTTAGCGTTAATTTTTTGTATTTTAATGGAATTATTTTTATAGACTTACAGACGAACAGAATGACATTATAACACAGTTCATGAGTACCTATTACCACAGATAACATAATATTACATACTAATAGCAAGATATGCAAAGCAAAATCGATGTTTTAATCTCTTTATTTTTCCGCTTTGCTACTTCTAAACCTTATTATATATGCGTGGAATGGGGGTCATATACCCCCATTCCACGCATGTCGATAATGATGTGAACTCATAGTTACCAATTAAAAACGATTAAAATTTACAGAGAAATCATGAACATTCAGGTTTGTGGGCTATAATCGAGTGTGTGACATCCAATTACGGCACGTACGTACTTTTGTTTTTACAAGCTGATATCTATTTTTAGCAAACCAAATATTCCTTGAGCTACTTTCTTTTTCGTTCATGATAATCGGTAATAAAATGTGCATTGAATATTTATTTCAATTTCTTTTGACAGCGTGTAACGACAAATATAGATGTTGATTTTATGTTATATTCTTATATTAATAAATAATTGCAACTACTATACAATAGTTTGATTATTAAATGTATTTGGCGTAACAAACCTTTGACTTCCTTTCAATATCACTAAAAGTTTCGTAAGCATGTTTGCTACTATAGTGGTATAATTAAAAACTTACCATTTGCTGAGGGTTTCTCGGTTTCCTATGAGCTCGAGGAACCTTAAGTCCGGTGACGCCTTCCAGTACGTCGGCGAGAAGCAGCCCGTCCGCGCAGTCCCGAGCTAGTCCGCCGCCGGATGCGCCCGCGCGTCTCCTGGACCGCGCCCGCTCCAGATAGTGGTTCGCCCAGTCCGTGTAGATCTATGAATTATATAGGAGTACTTAAATAAAAATAATACCTTTTTATTTTACTATATAACTGGGGATAAATTTACACGGCGGATACCCTTCCAATCGTTCCCCCGTCCAATTCAAACGGGGACCGAAATTACAACGGCCTTAGCAAAGGTTCGAACCCCTAGCGGTGCACTCAGAGTAAAGTCGTATCCGTCAGGCGGGAGGGAGCCTTCAGCCACTCCACGAATCCTTCCGCGTTGTTTGGAGAGCCCTGTACACTCGACAGACAGACCTCCTGTCGTCCGCTGAAGCTGTAAAGGCCAGCTGCGGCCAACAGCATTAGAGTAGTCCGAAAAAAACACAACAGATTGCTACTAATCGGGACTAGTTAGAATTGCTAGCAATTGACCATGTTAGGTCCACCACCTGTAAGCCGTCGAGTATAAATCCTAGTAAATTAACCACGATCTGCCTCATGTCATATTTATTAGTTATCAGCGGAAGATGTTAAAACATCTTCTGAAAGTGCCCTGTCACAGCCTATATTTACTATTAGCATATAGGCCGGTGCAATATTCCATATTCGTTTATGACAGAAAATCACATAGCGCCATCTAATCCGAAACTAAGCATAAATTGTATTATGGATACAAAAAATCTACGACAAACTATTTCTATTTATATATATTTATTACTAGTTTTTATAGAACGTATAACATAATTATTTAATATTGATATAAATATTACATAATTATGTTATATATCTAATCTTTCAAATAGAATAAGTATATTTCTGTAATATTTGAAAGTACTGCACCCAAGACAACACTAATAGGCAGGGTTATTGACCGGATAATTTCGTCAAAGACGTAAGTAGCAAAAAAACTAAATGATTAGGCCGACATATGTCACTGTTCGCCGAATAAATTGTATAAACACACTCCATGACAAGTGGACCTGATTAGGTACAAAATCGCAAAAACCTAATAGTACTTTGTAGATTAATTACGTTAGGTTTTTGACAATTGCCACAAAATATTATTACAAAATTAAAATATTTGTTATAAAGTTAATAGTATATTTTGACAGGTTGACTGTAAAAAAGCAGAAAGTTTTATGTTTGATCGCTATTTATGCTACATACATATTAATGTTTATCGATATTTTCATCAATTGTGAACCGATTTTAAAAGTCTTATTTCTCTATACAATAGAGATCCACAGATTATATATGTTCTTTAATAATTATTCTTCTTATTTTCTATGGAAAAGAATTCCATTTAATCATTAAAATATCATAATTTGTGTCCAGGTCAAATCATCCATAAGATTTTATGAGTTGATTGTACGCTTGCAGAAACTATGACGTAACAAAAAAATATAAGTAAACAAAATATTGCTTTAGTTAAAACTACCGACTCAAATATGGATCTACAAGGTGACTAAGGATACAAAATCGCCAATAAAAATTTAACAACTCCCGGCAAAGTATTCCATTGATTTTATGCAACCGTGGGAGAATTACGAGATAGTGACTCATATTTAATTTACCATAAGACATGAAAAGATAATGTGCTACATAGACATTTTTTGTTAAAAAAATTAAGCGCGTTTGTTCGCAATCACGCCTATGTAATTTTGTGAATACAAAATCTGATTTTTTTTACTCAGGGATTTGGGCTATTATACAAGGTGTTTTAAAGCTGTGGCACTGCGACCTGCCGCGCTACATTCTACTCGCTACCTAGGGCCGTCGGGGACATGACTTGAAGGATATTCTCAAGAGCTATGCTTTTTATCTCCTCAGGATAGAATGCGTACCTTCCAAAGGTGATATTATTATTATTTCTGATATGAATGTATAAAGTATAAATAAATAATATAAAGTATATTATTTATTCGGAATAACAGGTTCACATCAATTTTTATTTTTATTGCTCTTTATAAGTGAAAAATATTATATAACATAATATTATCAATAATTCTGTTTATTGCAGACTAAAAAAGTAAGACTAAACTAGAAGTAGAACTAGACTAACTCTGCAAGATTGCGCTTAATATATGGAGAGATTTTCGATAAAAAAAACTTTCAGATACCTGTAGTAGTAGTAGCAGTAGACAGATAACCTGTTATCTGACTACTTTTATAGACTGTGTATAGTCATACGATAGCACAGAATAAAAAATTACCTGCCACCTTCTCCACGTAAATATATTCATGTAATTTTCAACGATTTGTTAGGTCGTGAAATGGTAACAAAATAAACATGGCAATTATATAATATTATTTTTAAATGTTGTAAGCATAAACGTAAATATTCTAATTGGGACATACTTACCTACAAAGATTGGCGTTAATTAGACGTTGTAAATTTGACAGAATAAAATACCCTTAAAAGGATTAAGTCATAGGGGACTTAATTTGTGGAAGAATGAGGGCAAGTGGTGGATGGCGACAGTCGGCCGCCGGTTCAGAGGCGCTCAGACGTGTGAAGGACTAGATCATTACATTGTCTATGTATGCTGTATGTCTAGTATTCTAGTAGTACTGAATAATGGATTTATAATGCTGTCATGTGCATGATAAATGGATACCTATATACCTACTTAGAATAATGTCTTTTATCTGAACTATGAGAATAAAAATCTATATTTAGTGTTATTAATCTGTCTGTTTGTTTTTTACGTATTCGCGATCATACGGCTGGATGAATCATAATGGATGGGTACGTTGTTCATTCGGATTATTTGTCTAGTGGTGAATAGGCAATAAACTGACAGACAGACAAACTTTTCCATTTATTATAATAATATTAGATTTAATTATTGATTACCAATTCTTATCTAATATGGATTTAATTTCTCAAATGTTTATAGTCGTTTTTCTTCTACGAAACGAATAATAAAGATCAAAATAAACAATATATGTGTATGATTCTTTATTTTACTATTTCTTAGTATCTATTGATAAAAACCTACATTGTTACAAACAATGAACGACTCTCTTTGGGCCATCCCGTTACTACCGCTTGACCTTAATTTTTCGAAGATATTAATAATATCGATTTAACAGTATGTTTAGCATAGAGGCGGATAACCGTTGTATACATATATATTTTATTCAAATGTTTTTAGTATAATTGATTTAAAAAATGAAGAGATATATGAAAAAAAAAAATAGAAATAATGGGAAAATAAATTTGAAGCTGCTAGTTTTTATCAAAACCATAAAGTCGTATCAATATTAACTTAGTGATTAGTAGGTATAATAATAGATTTATTCCGCTGTTATACTAGATGGTAGTCAGTTAGTCATATATTAGTCGATGTAGATTAGGTAGTGGTGAAAGTAACACTTGAAATTTCATATTTTGCTGAGTTTCATATTAATATACATAAATAAGTATGGTACTATTTATGAAAATAAGTAGTCCTTAACAAGTATAAAAGAGGAATAGGAAAGATAACGTTTAACATAGAAACAATAACATGTTATACTTACAGTAGAATATGAACTTTATTTATCTTGTTTAAAACACCTTCATTTATCTAAACGAAATCTAATTACATATAATTTTTTGCTTTACGGGGTGGATGGATATTTGTCTTACCTCTCATTTCCTTATCGCTTTTTTTTACTCAACCGTTACCTGTCTCCTGTACCCTTACAAAACCCAAAGGTTGAATCAGATATAGATTACAGGCAAGACTTGTACTACGAAAGGGTGGATGTTAGTCATAAATCAATATGCGGCGATCGTATCTACTAATCGAACATGTTAATAGAATAATCGTGACGTCAGTAGTACTGGATGTGTCCGAGATAAATATAATACTTCATCTCAATTCGTCGTTTTATCTGCCTCCTATCACACGGCAGTTTATTCTAATCGGCTCCAAATAGCTTTCGATTGTAATAAATCTTTCGGATGGACATTTTTATCGCTCTATAACTGAGTATAAAGAGAATACGTATATATACACTATTGAATATACACTATTGAATATACACTATTGAAATGAGAACGACATATAAGGTAACTGTAATTTTTTTGTGTGGAGCTAGTTTACCTTCAGATAGTACTGTATTATTTATTTTTAGGTTGTGGAAAAATTGAAAATCTATTATTCTGACTTGCTTCTTGCTTTGGAGAAAAATAAAGTCAGAAAATTTTATTTTTACAGGTTTTTTGGGTATTTAATTTACGGATCTGTACTGTACCTTATAAATAGTGATAACTATGATACCTACCTGAACTGAGTACCTACTAATATAAATGTTATTATATTAGAATGTACGAGCCTCAAAACAATTAGATATATTTTTATTTAATTCCCCGCAAACTAAGATCCCGCTTTGGAAAAGTTTTCACATAGCATAAAGACAAAAATGTCTAAATATGTATTTTTTATGTTTCTGACGAGACTTGAGATATGTTTTTTTTTGTGTTAGTTTGTTTGTAATAGTTTAGCCCAAATAATATTACTGTCAGAAAAATTAAAAACACGCAAGCTCGGTAGCTAGTGTGTAAAAACATATTACAATGTTTAATACAATAAACGAGTTCAATTTATATTAACATTACGAATGTGTATCACATTTCGTAATCAAATTCCCATTAACGCTTTCTGTAAATCAGCACCATAACTATAAATAATATACAAGTGTACCAACATACAGTAAAGTTAGCAACCAAATTATTAATTAAGTCAGCAATGAATATTTCAGATTCAGCGTGATATTAATTCGTTACAGCGAAGCATATTTACACTGAACAAATATAGTCGAGGTCGTCCGCTGGTCCTTACGGACCGCCGGGTGCGGGCCTCGAGCATAAGCTCTTTGCCCGGGCGTACTGCTGGGGTGTGCCACCCCAGCGTCATTCGTTTACCGGCCGGCCTGCCGGCCGGCCGGAAGCCGGCTGCTTCCCAGCAACCGGCTGAGGGAGTCGTGTGGGAGGACTTTTTAAGTCGCTCGCCGAGCCGGCTTAACGCCGCCACGTCACGTAAATGACGTGATCACT